AGAAAACAGAGTGGACAAGGGTGTAAGGGGCAGCATGCGATCTGTACTAAATCATCTTCAAAATGTTTGTGCGTACTGTGCGTAGTGCGTTAGATGCGTACTAGCTTACAATCGTTAATATGTATGTGCGATGTCTGATGCGTGATGCTTGAGGCCTATTCACTTGAAATTGTTTGCATGTATAAGTGATGTGTGATGCATGATACCTGTTTATCTGAATTCGTTTGCGTGCAGATATTTTTCGCGCATTTTAATCCGAAGTTGGATATACACTGCATCGCGATAATGGTTGGCAATGCTCCTTACACTGAATGTTGGTGAGTTGTAAAAAATCTGACTCGCTGTTTAAAAAAAAAATCAAATGGAATTAGCGTGGAATTTTGAATTCACTACTCATGTCTGTTCCCATACACCCATGTAACTGGAATATCAATGCACCTATATCTTCTTTGTCCCGGTTACGCTAAGTAGAATAAGGCTAATTATACTGTCTTATCTATTTGTAAAATGTTCCTCGCAAATGCACTTTACAGCTTACGCAATCAATGTCTGCCAGAAAAAGTTTTTAAGCCATCACATTTTGATATATTAAAGGGAGCGTTCCATCTTCATTTCTGGTCTTAGCTGAAATAGCTGTTTTATAGATTATTCGATGCAGTTCGCGGCCCTGACCTTCTGGCCGCACCCAAAGACCTCTGGTTTCTGAGCTATACGCCCGCGAAGATATGCAGACTTTTTCGTGCAGACTATTTCAAAGCCATTCAGGCATGCATGACGTCATAAAATGGTCATGTAATTCCTGCCGCCCCACAGGCCAGGCCGTGTTCAAGGCGAAGAAGAATATTATTGTACAGCCGTTCGGACCTGTCTACAGTCCGTGATCGCGGTTTCCAAATAAAATGGACGTCAATTCGCTCTCAAACAATTTAAGCTAGCTGCGCAGAATAAGGCAGTAGTAATAGTCTCATTCCTCAGAGAAAAATCAGGAAAATGGAGATGTAGATGGGTTCATATTTCGATGAAGGCATGTTGCCAAAATATCAAACCATCGATATTTTCATTCTCCCGGCATTTCTCCGGGGAAAAAGGCTATTACTACTGTCTTATCTAGGTGAATAATGTCACTCGAAAATGCACTGAACAACTTACAAGCTGCACAAGCTTCAATCGCAAAGCACGCTTTGTGCCTCTTAATTTAGGAAGTTGGATGTGGTTTCTTTACCGGCTAGCTATCACAAAATTAGGACTTGCAATCGAATAACTTAATATGACGAGCCCAGAAGGACAATGGGTAAGCTAGACAATTATTGCCCGTGCTGCCATCTCTTGCCCAGCTTGAAGTACTACAAGTAAGTGCAAATTTCGACGGATAGTTTGGTGGCGCCACAACGTCATACAAACGTTCCATGACGCAATCAAACACTGCCGTATCAAGGAGCATGTTTACTAAATGGAGAAAATGTGCTGCCTAGAGGATCCTTTCCACTTAAAAGCAGATCAATAGTCATAAGTGACATAACTTCATTTTATGCCCGGTTCGTCGCGGACGCGTCAGTTCCTTGTTCCGCTGCAGACCATGATGACGGTACTCCGAGATCACGGCGGCTATAACACCCTCTCCCGGCGCCGACCTCCCTGCAGGCGGCAATGAGTAATCACACAGCTTTTGCCGTGCAGCTGTGAGCTCCCATTGTCTGCTGGTGTGAACAGAATCATAGCGGCGCCGAAACGGCCAAGTGCAGCGATCGCTCCAGCGTGACCGACCGAAAGGTCACATACCGCTTCTCCCTTCCGCGAGACAGGGGACGGGGAGCGGGCGCGCGCTGCCCGCGTGGCCGCCGACGCCGTCGCGGCGCGGTCCGTGCCCGCCGCCGGCCGCCGACGAGGCTCGGAGCGGCTCGGTCCGGCCGCACCAGGTGGGAGACGCTGTCGAGAGGCGATCCGACGAGCGCTTTGCCGTCCGCCGTTCAGATAGGGTGAGTGCCGACGCCTGTGTTACAGCCAGGTCTGACTCATCCTCACGTTGTGCCGCCTTCAGACACGGCCCACGCCAGGACATGAATGGTGCAATACAACAGACGTAACTGCGCTGCCAACTCGGACAGAGTGGCATAAAAAACCGACTCAAGAGAGCGGCTCCAACAGACGTGTCAGGCCCCGAGCCAGGGGACGCACCACCAAACAAAAATCAAAGTTGGAAAGAAACGTACCTTATGTCTCGGAGGTTGCATGCGTCGGTGATCAAGCAAGTGCACTGCACCAGCTACTTCAATACAGAGCCTGTATTCAACAATTCCACTATAGTGCGGACCAAATTCCCGACGCAGCACCGACTTCAGGTTCCAAACAGCATTTCTGTCCTCTTCTGAAAGCGCATCCATCACCGCAATCCGCGTGCCGAGGCCAAGAAGCGCCTTCCCCACAGATGTCGTCTCATCCCCCACCCCAGCCGATATGTATCCAACCGTCAGAAGAAGTCTTCCACCTCTTCTCCACCAACCCACGCGAATTCACCCTGGACTCAATTTCGCATGCCCCACTCGTGTCACGCGCCGTGACAAACACGGCTCTCGCCGGCGTCAGAAAACGGCCGTCCCGGTGACCGTTGACCGTGGCGGCCGGCCGGCCCACGCTCCGGCGGTGGCCGCAGAGGCGAGCCCAGGTAAGCCCACTAGTAATTCGCTGTATTGGTAAACGAACTAGTAACGCTATCGCAATGTTGTGATGTTCTTGCTTGTTAACTTCCCACCGCCTGTGAGTTGGTTTCATCGTATCTGATGCCTGCTTCAATATTTTCAAGTGTGGAGCATTGCGTTTCAATGGTCGATAATTCAGCATAACTTTACACTCATATGACCATTAAAATTTGTTTTTAATCTCTGTCGTTATTTCAATTTCATTATTTCAAAAACACATTGTTGCTTCGTGAGTCAGAAAAAAACATGCAAGAACGAGATATCCGTTATGATCGTTCACATCGCCTCAAGCGGATTGGTGAGCTTGAGAAAGTTGAAAAGTAGATGGAGTAATTGTGATTGGTCGTCACCAAGAAAGATCTTTGAGAGAATCTGATGCTGCGCCAAAGAAAATGGCCCTCCACGGCATTTCGCTACTGCTTGAACTTGTTGCACTCCATAGCAATGTTAGCCCCAAAGTGGATAATCGCACGGCTGCGAGCAGGGACGAGGGCGATGCAAATATGTGTGATTCTGGGTGAGTATATACTGTGTCCAGCTCGCAGAAAAGCCAACTCTTCCTTCAAACGGTTTTTATGATACATCGATGGCCAAGTACAAGGCGATACAAGTGTCATGTCGGAACTTATGCCATGAAGCTGCGTTCTGGTGTTGTTTGTCCATTGTCGTAGTCAAAAATGTGTTATCGTTGTCCGAGTTAAAGACGAATATATTTAGAATGAACGGAAATTTATGTGATGTGAAAGGACCAAAGCTTCTTGAGCCAGATGGGGCTTGGCCTACTTAAATCCCATGATGCTTCGATAGACCTGAAATCCACAAAAATCGGTTACCAAATTTAATGACTAATGTCATGTTCTTGTGAATATAACATAGGATATGTAAGTAAATATGCATGTCCTGTGAGAGTAATATATGATGCAGATTGATGATGTGGACAAGGAAGTAGGGAGCAACGTCTGGGTAGTTACGCGACTTTACATCTGCCTTGTAACCCGAACAGATCGTAATTGCGCTCAGAGGATGAATGTGTTGATGACGGTGTTGAAACGCAAGAAGAAGAACAAGCAGCTCTGCGGAGTTAATGGAGGTGCCATTCAATAACCGTCAGTCTTTAAACCAACCTTCGCAATAAATTACTGAACATTCAGGGTGGTCACTACACCTAGAACCATCGGTGTACAAAATACGGTTATTTGAATGAATGACAGATGTATTATGCAACGTTTGTTAAATATAAGATGTTGTGACGAGCAGTTTGAGATCTTTAGGAAGGTGTTTGAAAATAACTAATAGTGCTACAATAGGCTGAGTTTGTTTGTTGTTTGTTTGCGAGTCTGCAGCACTTTTGTCACGCATCGCAAAATGTATACCTTGCGTCGGATGGCTAAGAGCAGAACGTGGGCTTTCATTCCAGGCGCTGAACTTGGAGACGCACGCAATACTCCCTGTATAATCCGCAATAACGTGTTTTGGATGGTAGCCAGAGGCCGAAGAGCGTGCTCATTGCTCCCCTGCATAAGCCATGGAGCCGTATTTAATGATAAGAACCAAAAATGTATGTAAACCTACTTAAGTGTGGCGGTCGACACCGTACCGTGACCCAGAGATGCGGCGGACGAAATTCAGTGTTTTGAAGCGTTTGGAACGAACATGCTCCACGCACGTTGGCACCGAATCTTAGGGCAAGTGCGGTACCGATTAGCTTAGAAAATAAAACAAAAAGAGTAAAATCTGATCCAACAATAACTGAAAAGTGCACAAAATGTGGCATACCCCGAAAATGCAAATGACGTTTGCCACAGCCGGATCAGATAAATTCGCATGCTGGAAACGCAAGAATACTTTTGTCAGAGCCGCATAACTCGAACAAATCATTTTATTAAAATGCAGCTGGCGAGGAATCGACAAGCGCCGTAACCTACACAGTAAGAAAATAACATGAGGAACCGTTCTCACCCGTGACTAGTACGTCGCTGGCTTGAAAGCCGGGGCGGGAGAGCTGTATACGGTCTCGTGGACAGGCTCATAGGCCGGAGCAGCAACCTTGTAGGCAGGGGCGGGATGGCTGTAGCCAGAATTGTGGACAGGCTTGTGGGCCGGAGCGGGAGAGCTGTATACGGTCTTGTGGACAGGCTCATAGGCCGGGGCAGCAACCTTGTAGGCAGGGGCGGGATGGATGTAGCCAGAATTGTGGACAGGCTTGTGGGCCGGGGCGGGAGAACTGTAAACGGGTTTGTGGACAGGCTTGTAGGCCGGAACAGCAACGTTGTAGGGCAGAGGGCTGGATGGCTGTAGCCAGACTTGTGGACAGGCTTGTGGGGCCGGAGCGGGGAGAGCTGTAAACGGGCTTGTGGATAGGCTTGTAGGCCGGAACAGTGACCTTGTAGGCAGGGGCAGGATGGCTGTAGCCAACATTGTGGACAGGCTTGTGGGCCGGAGCGGGAGAGCTGTAAACGGGTTTGTGGACAGGCTTGTAGGCAGGAGCGGGATGGTTGTAGGTAGGCTTGTAAGCCGGGGCAGCAGTCTTGTAGGCAGGGGCGGGGTGGTACTCGGGGTAATGGGCCTCTCCCTCGTAGGTGACCTCAGCGCTGTAGTCGCCGTAGTTGTCGACGACGTAGTTGACGTGCTGGATACGGCCGTCGGGCAGAGCCACTGAGTAATATCCCTGGGTGTTGTGGCCATCGCTCTCCTCCCTCTTGGCGAAGTTGGTACCGGTGTAGTCGTCATTGACGGCGTACTCGTAAGCGAACGGTTTGACCTCCTCCTTGTACTGGGGCTCCGGGTGGTAAGAGGCCGGCTTGTAGGAGGGGGCCGGGTGGTAGGGGGCCGGAGCGGGCTTGTAGCCCGGCGTCTCCGGTGCCGGGGCGGCGGCGGCGACAGCCAGCACGGCGGCAACGATGAAACCCTGCAATGACATAGGGGGCTTTTCACGGAAGCGGCAGACATTTTAAACGTGCATGTTTTGCTGAGATCAATCTGATAACCTCGGTACCAATGTAATACATTTCTCCATTCTTTTAGTGCAGTCACTTCGCTAAAAATAATCGCTCCAGCAGTCAGCAGGACACCATACCAACCGCATCATTCAAGCCCTCACCTGCATGGTGTGTTCTGATGGCCTGGTGTGCAGTGCAAGTGGTGGCTACTTTTGCTTTGCTTTCCCTTTTATAGGTCGCCCGCTCACCACTGGTAGACGGCCACGGTCAGGTTCCCAGTGAACGAGTGGCCCCCAGTGCCGCAGGCTGTGCTGACGAATTCGCATGGAATGGCCTGGCACACCCCCGCCCCAGAGAAGTTTGGCTTAATGCGATGGTTAAGCTGGGTCATGATTACACAGGATGTTCGGTGCACACAAGTGGGTGTCAGGCTCAGGGTGTATTCAGGAACTTTTGCTGGGAAGCAAATCCGGTGACGCAAAGGGGGGGGGGGGGGGGTGTAGGTGCGGAGGTCTTGTCCACTAATAATTCACGTAACATATTTTGGAAGTGATGAAATGTCATGGCTGCAATGCTAGATATACATATACGGCTGTTTCTCACTGATGCACAATCTTACCCGTTCGACTCACCTTTGTCATTCGGCAAATACGGCTTTCCAGCTGACCAAGATTATTTGGCTACTTCAACATTGTTTTCTCCGGGGAGGTGAAATTCCACGAGTGGGAAGGAATTTTGCTGCGGCCGCATTTTAATAAAATGATTTCCTGGAGTTATGCGGCTCTGACAAAAGTATGCTTGCGTTTTCATCATGTGAATTTATCTGATCCTGCTGTGGCAAACGTCATTTGCATTTTCGGGATTATGCCACATTTTGTGCACTTTTCAGTTATTGTTGGATCAGATTATACTCTTTTTGTTTTATTTTTAAGCTAATCGGTATGGCACTTGCCCTAAGATTCAGTGCCAACGCGCGTGAAGCATGTCTGTTCCAAACGCTTCAAAACACTGAGTTTCGTCCGCCGCATCTCTGGGTCACTGCACGGCACCGACCGCCATACTTAAGTACGTTTACATACATTTTTGGCTTTTATCATTAAATACGGCTCCATGGCATAAGCAGGGGAGCAATGAGCACGCTCTTTGGCCTCTGGCTACCATCAAAAACACGTTATTGCGGATTACGCAAGGAATATTGCGTACGTCTCCAATTTCAGCGTTCGGAATGGACGCTCACGTTATGATTCTAACTATCGGACGAAAATAATACATTTTGCGATGTGTAACAAAAGTGCCCTAGACTCGTAAACAAACGACAAACAAACTCAGTGTATTGTAGCACTATTAATTATATTCGAGCACCTTCCCAAAGATCTCAAAGTGTTCGTCACAACAGCTTATATTTAAGAAACGTTAAATAATCCAATTGTCATTCATCCAAATAACTGTGTTATGTACACCGATGGTTCTAGGTTTGATGACCACACTGAATGTTCAGTAATTTATTACGAAGTTGCTTTAAAAAACTGTCGGTTATCAAATGGCACCTCCATTTACATGGTAGAGTTGCTTGCGCTTGTTCTTGCGTTTCAACACCGTCAGCAACACATTCATTATCCGAGCACAATTGCGATCCGTCCGGGTTACAAGGCAGATGTAAAATCGCTTTACTACCCAGACGTTACTCCCCACTTCCTTGTCCACATCATCAATCTGCATCACATATTGCTCTCACAGGACATGCGTATATTATTTGCATATGCCATATATTACGGTCACAAGACATGACATGAGCCATTAAATTTGGTAATCCATTTTCCGTGGATGCAAGGCTATAGAAGCATTATGGGGATTAAACAGGCTGGTCTACTGGCTCAAGAAGCTTTGGTCCTTTCACATCACATAAAGTTCCGTTCAATCGAAATATATTCGTCTTCAACTCGGACAACGATAACACATTTTTGGCCATGACAATGGACAAACAACACTAGAACGCAGCTTCATGACATCAATTCTGACATGACACTTAAGCCATCAATGTATCGCAAAAACCGTTTGGGGGGAAGAAGATATTGGCTTATCTGCGAGCTGGACACAGTATATACTCATCCAAAATCACACATATTTGCATTGCCCTCGTCCCTGCTCACAGCCGTGCGATTATCCACTTTAGGGCAAACATTGCTATGGAGTGCGACAAGTTCAAGCAATAGCGAAATGTCGTGGAGAGCCATTTTCTTTGGCGCAGCATCAGATTCTCTCAAAGATATTTCTTAGTGACGACCATTCACAATTGCTCGACCTTCTTTTCAGCTTTCTCAAGCTCACCAATCTGCTTCAGGCGATGTGAACGATCATGACGGATATCTTGTTCTTGCATTTTTCTAACTCACAAAGCAACAATGTGTATTTGAAGTAATGAAATTAAAATAACGACAGGAGTTAAAAAACAAATTTTCAGTGGTCACATATGAGTCTAAGGTTATGCTGAGCTATCGACCATTTAAAAGCAATCCTCCACACTTGAAAATATTGAGGCAGGCATGAGATACGATGAAACCAACCCACAGGCGTTGGGAAGTTAACAAGCAAGACCCGTCACAAGATTGTGGTAATGGTGCGTTACTAGTTCGTTTACCAATATAGCGAATTACTAATGGGCTTACCTGGGCCCGCCCCTGCGGGCACCGCCGGAGGCGTGGCCAGGCCGGCCGCTACGGTCAACGGCCACCGGGACGGCCGTTTTCTGACGCCGACGAGAGCGCGCGTTTGTCACGGCGCGTGACGGCGGGAGGGAGCATGCGAAAATGAGTCCAGGGCGAAATTCGCGCGGGTGATGGAGAAGAGCTGGAAGACTTCTTCGCACGGTCGGATATATATCGGGTGGGGTGTGATATATATCGGATATATATCGGCTGGGCTGATGAGAAGAAAGCTGTGAGGAAGGCGCTTCTTGGCCCCGGCACGCGGATTGCGGTGATAGGTGCGATTTCAGAGAACATAAATGCTGTTTGGAACAGTGTGGGAAATTTAATTGTTTTTTTTTTGCTGGTGGCGGAGTACAAAAATTGTTGTGGTCGGAGTACAAACTTGCCTGCAAGCAAAGGTCGGTCTAATGTGAAATGAGTGTCTGCACAATGGGCCTTGCTTGGAGTACATCACATACTGCCTTTAATGGGTCAACATTTTCCCAATGTTTTTCTGGCAAAAATTAGTGTCAGCATGCAATTTTGCATTTCAGTGGAACAGAGCACTTTCTGTGAGCGAGGGTGCCACACTGATCCCATCCATATCCCTGTAGTGCTACTAGCTCACCTATACATGCACAGATTGATTGATGGTACATGTTTAAAAAAATATAGAGTTAGAGAGGTTAACAACAAAACTTTATACATATGCATTCACAGGTGCATCATACAAAGCTCAGTTACTTAGCATTACCTATCTACATGCAAGCTTACACAATATCAAAATGATAAATCAGGTGCATCCTCTGCTTACTGACAAACTGCATTGCGGACAACCACTGTGCATCACACCCTGGTTTTTTAATGAGTCTTAGGCAGCTGCAACTGACTATGAAAGCCTTATGTATGTGACATCAATAACATGTGGTCCTTTTGGCCTTTACATAATTAATATAAACATACCAAAAGTGTTCCTCTTCCTATCCTTCTCTTTCTGATCTTCTCCTCTTTCAGTTCCTCAGCTTCTCTGTCTGTCACTCTTCTCCTTCCACTCCTCCTCCACTTCTGCTCCTCCTCTTTTCCTGCACCTCCTGTTATCCCTCTCCTCTTCTCCAAGTTCCCTATGATCATATGCAGAGAAAATTTTAATAGTGTCACTGCAGGACCTTATGCCTGACAGCAAGGAACATGGCAGCATTGCCACCTGCCCGGTTACAGCAATTATAACCACAGGCTGAAAAGAGGCCAGCCTCATATTTGATCCCACATGGGAAACCCACGCCTAGCATTAATGTTGTATACAGATACCTTAGTACCTACGTACCTACCCACTATGCTGTAGGTAGAGCAGGTTATACCAAGGTGATTCTGCATCAGCCTGCAGTGGTAAACATTTATAGATCAGTCCCCCGGTATTTATTTACATTTTTTGGAATGACTTAATAGCGGTCCAAAACTAAATCCCAAGTAACTTTAGAAGTGTGGATGCATGCTGTGTGAAAATTGAAGACAACCAATTCCACTTTGCCTCACTGAATACCTCAAACTCGCAGCTACGATGCACATAATCCCAAGCAGCTTCACTCACCCTCCGCCCTCCTCACTCCCACCACATGAAGACAGACAACCAAACCATGCACAGGAGTTCTGGCGCATTCACAGACATTGTGATGGCATTCTAGCACTCGTCAATGGGCCAACCAAGTACAAGTACCACGGGTCGGTCCTGAAATGACAGGCTGTGATGAATAGTCTAAGAAAAGCCATTTATGCAGTTGCACCAACACAAATTGTTCAGTTTGTGGTACAAAAATCATAGAGCTTTACAGTCATGCATTTCAAGTTGCTATTTTCCACCTACAAATACATATTATCTTCTGGTGGCGCAAGACAACGCCGAGATAATGCAGTGACTGTACTACAAATCTATAGATATTTCTCATTCTAAGGCATACCATGCCATTCCAGCACCCTCTCAGGAAAGCCCGTATCTGTGCGATACCAAAATACGTAAATTTTTCAATTAAATTTGGCTAACTTTGCTAAAAACTTGCTGTTCTCCGGCTTGTACTCCGGCTTGTTCTCCCCGGGTCTCCCCATAGGCCCCATTGTGAGAAGGGCAACCAAGTACTGCGATTTTTTCCCGCCGGGTTATGGACCATCTCTGTCTTGCAAGTACAGGTACTGGCTGAGCCTGGAGACGTGATACCGTTGTTAAATAAGTAAGATATGCTCGAATCTTCAAAGACCGGCATTTACCGATTTCTGAAAAAGTGGTTGACGTACTATCATTTATACAATAGTAATAAGTTTTGGAATGCTGCATGCCACAAACTCCCATTTTGGGAACGTAATTTCCGATGACATTTAAGAACCCAAAAGAAGCCGTTACCACCAAAAGTGCCGCCCACAAACGCGATATTTGGATGCCATTTAATGTCATGATTCTATCTTAAAAGTGCCGATATGTGATATGATAAAAGTGCCTTTGAATGCTACGACTTTGAGTTTAATTGCAAGTTGGATGGTGATTGGTGGCTGGTATGGCAGGAGCAGGAATGAAACAAGCGCTTTGAAAAGGATGTGCAATGCTGCAATATTTTGGAATTTTCCCACCAAGCTGTTTGCAAGATGCACGTCCTTTGGTAAAATCGCTAACATGTTATCTTAATATGAGGTAAGTTAAGAGCATAGTTGGCATGCTAGGACTTCTTGCTCGGCGAGTCTTTGAATGACCTAGTTGAAAAAGATGTGCCATCGTTGATTTTGGTGCTGCTAGTGGTTTTCTGGTCGAACGAATATTGTTGTAGGTGTCTGTTGCGACGCGGACCTTCACTGCTCGAAAGTGCACTCGTCAGTTGTAGAGGGCCTGGGCTGCCGTTGGTCTCGGGTACGGGGAGGCGATGGGTTCGTCGCGTGGTGGGAGCCAGAGCCGTGATATGTTCGTCCGTTTCTTGAAAAGGTATCGGTAGGTGTGTGCGTCGTGGGGAATGCGGTCTTACTCAGGTGCGCCATATATTTTCGCCACAGGTGACATCTGAGGTATGTGGCAGCGGTAGGTACTTAAAACAATCACATTTCATATTTCAGCTTATTTCGTTTCCACAGAAGTAACTCACATGAGTTGTCATCACCATTCAGGAGTTGCACAGGCTTGTACAAGTGCATCTAACTCATGTAATACAATGATGAAGGACGTTGACATGAACGCCCTGGATTGGCCAGCTCCTGCACGATTTCAGATGCTTGTTTCCATTTCTTGGTGCTCCATATGTTTGGTCCCTGGAAATCAAATAAAAGTTATAACTCACGTTATGAAAGCAAAATTCATGCACCCTCCTGGCTATCAAGAAAGCAAAACTGTCTGCCTCGGTACTTTTACTCAGGCTCATACATTTGCAATGATGTCTGCTTTGTGCGGCGACTGCAGTGTTTGTCTGGAGTACAAAGATTGCCATTCTTACCAGTCAAGAGCCTGGAGTACAACATTTCCTGGTGCCACATCCACCAGAAAACGGAGGTTTTTCCCACACTGGTTTGTAACCTGAAGCCGGCGCTGCGTCGGGAACTTGGTCCGTACTAAAGCTGGAATTGTTGAATACAGGCTCTGGTATTGAAGTAGTCTAATGCAGTGCTCTTGCCTAATCATCGACGCATGCAACCCTGCGAGACATAACGTACGTTTCTTTCCAACTTACGCCTTCCGTTTCGTGGTGCGTCCCTTGGCTCGGGGCCCAACACGTCTGTTGGAGCTGCTCCACTGAGTCGGTTTTATGTCCCTCCGTCCGATGTGGCGGCGCAGTTGTGTCTGTTGTGTCGCACCATTCATGTCCTGACTTGGGCCATGTCTGTAAGGCAGCACAGCGTAAGGATGAGTCAGACCTGGCTGTAACACCGGGCGTCGGCACTCACCCTCCCTGCACGTCGGACGGAAGAGGATCACGTGTCGACGGCGTCTCCCACCTGGCGCGGCCGGACCGAGCCGCTCCGAGCCTTGTTGGTGGCCGGCGGCGGGCACGGACCGCGCCGCGACGGCGTCGGCGGCCACGCGGGCAGCGCGCGCTCGCTCCCCGTCCTATGTCTCGCGGAAGAGAGAAACGGCATGCAACCTCTCGGTCGGTCACGCTGGAGCAGCTCGCCGCACCCGGCCGTTTCGGCGCCGCTATGGTTCTGTTCATACCACCAGCCAATGAGCGTACACAGCTGTACGACAAAAGCTATCCGATTACCCATTGCCGCCTGCAGGGAGGTCTCCATTTGGAGAGGGTGTTCTAGCCGCCGTGGTCATGGAGTACCGTCATTATGATCTGCATCGGAACAAGGAAGAGACGCGTCTGCAACGAGCCGAGCATGAAATGAAATCATCTCACTTATGACTATTTGTCTGCTTTTAAGTGGAAAGGATCCTCTAGGTAGCACAATCTCTCTATTTAGTAAACATGCTCCTTAATACGGCATTGTTTGATTGCGTCATTCAACGTTTGTATGACGTTGAGATAACTCCAAACTAGCCGTCGAAATTTGCGTTTGCTTGTAGTACTTCAAGCTTGCCAAGAGGTGGCAGCACGGGCAATATTTTTCGCTGAACCAAATGTCATGGGCTCGTCTTATTAAGTTATTCAATTGAAAGTTTTAATTTTGTTATAGCTAGCCGGTAACGAAACCATGTCCATCCTGCTAAATTGCGTAGCACAAAGTGTGCTTTGCGATTGAAGCTTGCGCAGCTTGTAAGTGGTTCAGTGCATTTTCGAGGAACATTATTCACATAGAAAAGACAGCAGCAATAGCCTTATTCCCCAGAGGAAAACCAGGAGAATGAAGATATCGACGAGTTGCTATTTCGGCAACATACATTTATCGAAACATCAACCCATCTATATCTCCATTCCCCCGTTTTTTTCACCGAGGAATAAGGATTTTACTACTGTCTTTCCTTGGGCAGGCCACTAAAAAAAAAAATTGAGAGAAAATTGACACCCGTTATATTTGGAGACCGCGCTCACGGACCTCAGATGTGAACGGCTGTACGATGATATTATTCGCCACCTTGAACACCGCCTGGCCTGCAGGATCTGAATGACCCTTTTCATGAGGTCATGCATGCCTGAATGACTTTGAAATAGTCTGCACGAAAAAGTCTGCATATCTTCGCGGGCGTATAGCTCAGAAACCAGAGGGGTCTAGGTGTTAAGAAGGCCAGGGCCGTGAACTGCACCGAATAATCTTCAAGACAGCTATTTCAGCGAAGACCAAAAATAAAGATGGAACGCTCACTTCAATATATCAGAATGCACTGGCTAAGCGACTTTTTGTGGCAGATATTGATTGCGTAAGTTGTCAAGTCCATTTGCGAGGAACATTTCACACAGATAGACAGTACCGTTACCCCGATTCTCCGTAGAGTAACCAGGACAAAGTAGATATAGATGCATCGATATTCCAGCTACATGTGTTTATGGGAAGACATTTAAGTAGTGAATTCAAAATTGCATGCCGATTTCACCTGACTTTTTTAAACAGCGTGTCACATTTTTTTACAAATCACCGACATTCAGGATAAGGAGCTTTGCCAACCGTTATCACGCTACAGTGTATATTCAACTGCGGATTAAAATGCGCGAAAAATACCTGTACACACAAACGAATTCAAATAAACAGGCATCACGCATCACTCAACACTTATACATGCAAACGATTTCAAGCAAATAGGCCTCAAGCATGATGCATTAGGCATCGCTCATACATATTAACGATTTTAAGCTAGCACACAGCACGCTTAAAGGCACTAATTACATTCGCATTATCGCTCATAATGAGCCCTGTATGTTAGGGTCTCGTTACCGATTTTTTATGAGAATGGATCCACTTATTTTGCTGTCTGGATGGCCCTGGCTTTATAGACGACTTTGGGATTTAAAGGGGTGTGGTGTTCAGAAGTGCACATGCCCACGTCCTGGCACCCAAAAGTATACCGTGCAGCGAAGGGTCACCCGAAACACGAATTACTGTGCCGAGAGGGCTTTGATGACTCGCACCGAGTCTCGGTATGCAAATGAATTTGCAAGCGAACATGGGTGTCCATAACAACGAATATAGAGCTACTTCTAAGCATTTATAAATAAAGCTTAACTCAGGTCCCATGATGACATTATGATGTCTAGCATTGGAAGAACTGGCTGATATGTTAAAACCACACAGTCTGAGCAGTTCATTTTATTGAAATTAAACGGGCCGAAGAGCATCATAACACAACATTCATGCGTTTAAATAGCAAGTCGTCCTTAGAATTTGACTAGTACGCCACAGGCTTGTATGCCGGGGCGGGATGGCTGTAGGTAGGATTGTTTGCAGGCTTGTAAGCTGGGCCAGCAGCCTTGTAGGCAGGAGCGGGGTGGTACTCGGGGTACTGGGCCTCCCCCTCGTAGGTGACCTCAGCGTTGTAGCCACCGTAGTTGTCGGCGACGTACTTCACGTGCTGGACACGGCCGTCGGGCAAAACCACCGAGTAACATCCCTGGGTGTTGTGGCCATCGCTCTCCTCCTTCTTGGCGAAGTTGGTGCCGGTGTAGTGGTCGTTGACAGCGTAGTCGTAAGCGAACGGCTTGGCCTCCTCCTTGTACTGGGACTCCGGATGGTAGGAAGCGGGTTTGTAAGACGGGGCCGGGTGGTACTGGGCCTGAGCCGGCTCGTACGCCGACGCCTCCGGGGCTGGGGCGGCGGCGGCGACAGCCAGCACGGCGGCAACGACGAATCCCTGAAATTTCACAAGTGATTTGCTGTCAACAGGTCAGTCACTTCTGTACAGTTGTTTTGTCATAATTCATCTTATAGCTACGTTTCTGGTGCGACATATCACCATTGCACCCGTCACAATGCATTCCCCCAAACGGTCTCTCACATGTGACAAGCTGCCACACCAACTACTGCCTTCAAGCACATACCTGCATGTTGCGTTTTTGGTGGCCGAGTGTGCAGTGGGAACTGGTACATGACTCCACAGTGCTTCAGCTTTTATTGATCAGTCGCGGGCCGCTGATGGAAGGTCACGAACATTGCCTCACTGATCGTGCGGCTCCCGCTGCCACCGGCTGGTCTGGTAACATGGCAGGCTAGCACGGAACCACGGCCACTGCCGGATACTCGCGCAACGGCTGGGAAGCAATTCATGTGTCCATTATTCGGTCGTACTTTGCACATGACACTGTATTCGAGCAAGACATGTAGAATATGCACGTCAATGTTCATACCGTTAAACAAGAACAAGTCGATCGCCCTGACTCTGATTTATAGTATATATATGCTTGCGCCGTTTGCAAATAGCCAAGGTAGCTAACGGGTCTAAAACCCACTGTGCCGTTTGTGTCGCGTGGGATGTGCCTGTAGTTCGGCTCATCGCTGACTTACACCCGGCATCCCTCCTTTGTGTCCGGACCTCAGAAACTAAAGCTTCTGAAGCGTTTTAACGTCCTGCCTGAATGGAGTGGCCCGATTTGCTGCGCGGGGATCACACATATAAAAAAGCTTCTCGCAGCACCACATACCACTTCTATTTCAAGATCACATTGCTGGCCGAGGCGACGTTTGATAGCATCCTTCGCGATGTCTTTGATGACGTGTTATATTCCTGAAAAAAAACACTGGCAGCACATCAGAAAGCACGCTACCGTAAAGGTATGTAATTCTCACACTACTGTAAATGTAATTCTCCCCGTGTAAAGCACTTCACGATATTTGCGTGTGTTCCCATCTTGTCTCGCTCTTTTACAGTGACGGCGCTTCCATCAACAAACCTTACGCACTGCCGAACCAAACCTCAGGGCTCACATAAAGCATCTTCAAAGCCACTTGGTAGCTTTGGTTTACGACAAGACTTCGTTAACCAAGATTATGACGCATTGCAGCACATATTAGACTCAAGAGAGATATGTAAACCGAGAAAATGATGGGAATTTGCTGTAAAATTTCATTTATCTAACGTTATTACCCGAATGTGAAACAGCCTGCGGCATGCATGCCTCAGGCCGACACCCCCACCCCCCCCATCCCCCCAACACATGCAAAACAAATTGATGTCAATGCGTTTTGTCCTTGATACCTTTCGACAGGGTATGGGTACCGCACATGCCTTGAAGTCAACGCAGTCCAGAATTGAGGTAATTTATCTTCATTGCTGCAAATTGACTTTCATTGCTTTCATTGGTTGTTAAGTATATTTATTTTGATAGGCTTGAAAGCACATAGAAAGCAAATAAAGCATGGGCATACATCTGTCAGGATTCTGTAGGGCTCCCTTTCAGTCAAGACGCTTTCAGTACGGGATGTTGAGTAGCGGGCTGGACCATCCCAAAGACATCACTGACCCAAAAAATGGATTCATCTTAACTTCTCCCTAATTTCGATTTTTGCTCGGATATACGCCACTTCTACCTCAAGGTTGGATAACGAACGGAAAAAAGTCGGAGCGAAATGGCCACGATTTATGACGGAGCTGTGCAAGCTAAGGGCGAGGCTGTGAGCGGTGAGGGTTGGAGTCATTTTATTTCCAGTGGTTAGTATGACATGGCTTTGGATTTCGCTAATTGGCCAGCTAGCATTGTTCCGTTTTTCCTGAATCCACCACCAGAATTGTCCTGCCAAGCTCAACGGATCTATCCTTACTTGGCCACTTCGGTTCGACTTCAACTACAGGTTTGACGTCACCTGTGCATATCGCACATTATCTGTAGGCAGGAGCAGGCTTAATGAGCACATTCAGCTTAACTTCTAGGAGATGGGGGTGCAACAGACAATGCTGTGTGAATTCGTTAACCCAGCTGGTGGTGCCGGGAGGCAGTTCACTGAGGCAGTGGCCGGGTCCGTCTATCAGCAGTTCGCGGGTGGTCTACAAGTCAAGTAAATATGGAAGTACACACCACTTACACTGCAAACCAGGCCATCAGCACATACCATGCAGGTGTGTGCTGAAATGTTGCCATTGACATCATTAGCAGTCTTGTTGCGTTAACAAACGGGCATCTCCCTGAATTTAGCACACTTTCTTCTCAAAGTTGGGGACCTGAGTTATAAATTGGGGGGGGGGGGGGAGGAGCTGCAGGCCATTAAACTGGATAGAAAACTATATCCTTATACCCACGCAAGATCAGGTCCTTCGTGCCCGTTAATGTCAAGTACTTACTTCGTCCAAGGCAAGACATGAAACTTGTTTTTAATCCTAGCACAAAGGGATTCTGGCTGCTTATGGCGCTAAAGGCTAGGGCAAGCGTCACGTAGTGCCTTTTTCTTCTCATGAGCCAGACAAATGCGACAAAGACAAAAGGTTGGCATATAGATGGTACTGTTCCATGTGACACTCTTTCTTCGTAGCAAGTCTGTCGCCTAAACCTCACTTCTGCTCACAGGCGATCAGAGCATGACATTGCGAGCACATGCTCCAGGAGCGTGACGCCGGCGCCAAATTAAGAACATGGAGAGTTTTTAACAAATTTCCGGAAGTGTGAAAGCTTTTCAAGACATTGAAGGTTGCATCACCTAAAAAGGCCCCCCCCCCAAAGAGAAATGCAAATACCAGATCTCCATTTGAGCATAAAACAACTTCGCGTTTGTCGGACTACCCTAGCCACCATCCATTACACGACTTAGACAACCCCAAGTAGCCCAACGCGGTGCAACCAATGAGACAAGCTAAGTGCGTGTTGTTCAGCTCTGTTCTGATAAAAGCATGACAACATTATTTCAGCATTGAGCTATTTCTAATTTTCACAGGAATATCCTTTCGGTACAACACATACAAGCTGACCTCACATAGCGTCTGTTGATGACCTGACATGACATTGTCCAGTATCACTGACTGTCCGTCGCGCAGTCAGTTCAGCTGTTGAACTGCTTTAAGACACTTTAAAATCTGCCTGTAAAATAAGTAAAAGAAAGCGGCACAAATGGGACGGCTCTCCAAGACATTACTATGAGCGTAATGTGATGGAGCTTTACTTCGAAACGGTATTCTCCCAAACATGTGACAGCTTGATCATTTAATGACATTGTAAATTGTGGTAGACCTATTTGGAACGGCTTGCATGTCAATCCCAAAACGGAGAAAGGGAGGACCCGCCCTCGTGAGGGGGTCCTCGTTAGGGGTGGATCTCGTTGGAAGGGACCCGCCCTCGTTAGGTGTTGATCTCGTTGGGGAGGAGATGCACGTTGGCGGGTCAAAAATGTTTACACAAATCATGCGCTAATGGTCACCTTTCAGGGAGATTTAAAGTAACGAGATTTATAATCGTCTCCGTGGTCTAGGGGAAAGATGCTGGGCTCGTAATCCAGCGGCACTGGCCACGAGTCCCAGAGCGGGCGCATTGTTTGACGCGACTGAAATGGAAAAGTCGGCTGGCAGCTGGCCAACGAGGGTCAACCGAGGCCTGGGACGGCCGTGCCGCAGCATTGCGCGGCACGTGAAAACATCCGCAGTTCTGTCTAGCAAAAGGGCGGAAGCAAAATTATCCGCTGAAATGGACCGCACGACTTGAGTGGTGGGTTTGGGTTACACGCAACAAGCTATGCTTAGCGTGTACTCTGAACCCGAAGTCATCCGTGCAAACCATACGGAATAAATTTATGAAAAAAACAATTTTGGGGGAGCGCTTGCGTTGATTACCCAAGATTTGAGCCCGGTAGCCATCGTTTCAAGGAATTTCAGTCCATCAGTTTGGGTCAATGGTGCTAAAGATTTGCACAACATTCCCAGACAAAACATTAACGCTACAGCCTACCATGAAAACAATTATTGTCCAATACCCGAGATGCGTACTAGCGTGGACATTAGTTTTGTTGAAGGCGCACGTCGGTTGTCACAAACGTATCAGTGAAATCTTTAAGTTAAAACATGCAAGGCTTCTTGCATGAGGGCTTCGTGTCATGAAAGCTCAGCAGTTTAGGTAACGATAACACTGCAAACAAAAATTTCGTTTACATAGAAAACTTTTTTCAAAATTTCACTGGTATGTTGCAGGTTTGTATGCCGGGGTGGGATGGCCGTAGGCAGGTTTGCGGACAGTCCTGTATGCCGGAGCGGGGTGGTACTCGGGGCGCTGAATCTCTCCCTCGTAGGCAACCTCAGCGTTGTAGCCATCGTAGTTGTCGACGACGTACTTGACGTGCTGGACACCGCTGTCAGGCAGAGCCACCGAGTAATATCGCTGGGTGCTGCGACCATCGCTCTCCTCCTTCTTGGCGAAGCTAGCATGTAGGATGGGACTGGGTGGTAGGGGGCTGACTTGTGGGACGTGGCCGGGTGGAAGGAGGCCGGCTTGTGGGACGGGCCTGGGTGAAAGGAGGCCGGCTTGTGGGACGGGCCTGGGTGGTGGACCGTCTTGGGGGCCAGGGTAACTGCAGCAGCAGGCAGTACGGCGGCAACGATGAACGCCTGTAACTCCATAAATCATTTGTTATGGATAAATAATAGTTGGCTCAAATTAATTCCTCAATGGCTTTGTTGCATTACGACATATGCTGCCACCGAATCCATCATTCATTTTGCACTGTCATGCATCATTTAATGTGCGAGAGATGTGCATTCTCAGCATTTCGTTTTGGATTTCACATACATAAATACAAGTTTTGTGTTGTCAGGCACGAACAGATTCTTTTTCGAATAATGTTGCGACGAAGTGAATGACTCCATCATGTTCAACAGTTTCTGTCTCGAGCTACGCCTCAGCACATTCGTGTACAAGGTAGGAACGGAGGAGCATAGTGAGACATGCTGCACTCGCCTTCCCTGATGGCTTGAGAGGATTGGGCCTCGACGAAAAAACGTGATAGCTGTTTTTTTGAACGAGTAGGAAACATTGTTCTCCAAAAAATATTTTTGCCATTACAGCACATTCAAATGCCTTAAGGACAGCCACTGTCCGCAAGTCTTTGGTCCCAACGCTATGCACTGATACCCCGTCACAATGGAAGAGCCGATGCGTGCCACCCGGACCCCTTTGTAC